AAAGAGAAATTAGTTTAACCACATAATGAAAATATCTGTTATGTGGATAAATTAGTTTCCTAAGCGGAAAAATCTCCTCCCTTTAGTTTAACCAAAGTAAGTGGGATTAACGGCTTGCTGCTCTTGGTGTTTGAAGTTTGATTATCAACTGTTTCCATATTTATTGATTACAGAAAAAGAATTTCATGCGATTTATTTATTTTTAACTTGCAGATTAGTTTCTCTTTGTACTTGTAACAAATATATATATATATATATATATATATATATATATATATATATATATATATATATATATATATGGATGAATGTAATGTATTATAATTAAGGGAGAGGAATATGTTTTCAGTTTGTAGGTATGGAGTATAAACTATAAAGTCAGGTGATGAGCTTTTCCATTTGGAATTAGATGGACTCCAAACAATGGATATATGTTATTTGTGGTAAGAACAAACAAGATAGTAAATTAACTGCAAATCATCACTCCTATAAATTCAAAAAGTTTACGATCTCTTAGTTTGTTAAAATCTCTACAAGTAAAGCAACTGCAAACTCACTCGAATTAAATGAAGACAACGCCGAGAAATTGAAAATAGCCTTAACACATTAAGAAATTCCACATTTGATGATAGATTATACTCTGATTACGATATTTTGAAGGAAGCTAAAGATGAAAAAAAAAAATGTGACAAGGAATGGTCTCGAATGATGCAAGGACGTATGAATGCTATGCTTAAAAAAGATGAAATGAAAAAAAAAAATAATAATAATAATAATAATAATAATAATAATAATAAAATGCATGTCTGCGATGTGTTTATAAAACACCTTTTATTCAAAAATAATTTCAATTTGGCTTGAGCCGAGAATGCTTCAGCCCTTAGGCAAAGACCCATTTTGGGTCAAGGTCCGCCTTGGGCTGAGTTCCAGTAGACGTCTCTTTTGTTGTTGGCTTGGTACTTTTGCTTGGTTGTTTGGTAGCCAAATTTACATTTCTATATAAAATATGCAACCGAAAGTACAAACCTCAAACTAGATTACAAGTACTTTTGATAAAAGGCTACAATCGAGATACATAACCTTCATGATAAAATACAAAACAATTAAGAAGCACAACCAATAATATAAATAAACTTAATTCGGGCGTAGACAAATCATCAATCTTATTGAAAAACAATGGGTAAATTACACCAATCGTCCCTCGTGAACATGTCAAAAAGCGTGTTTAGTCCCTATTTTCAAAAATTAACTCGGACCGTCCCTCGTTTTATTTAACCTTTCATGCTTCATCCCTGAAAGACGATTTTGTTGTGAACTTAGTCCATTTCAAGTTTGAAATGACCAAAATACTCTTGTATTTTTTATTTTCAATTAATTTAATGCTTTTATTATAAGTTTCAATTAAAAATTAAAAAATAAATAATTGAAGCCTCTTTACTTTCCCAACCATCCACAATCGCAGAAAACACACACATATAGAATCGATGAGAGGGAAAACGGAGGCCTTTAATTTGTTGGCCAGTCAACGACTACCGTCATTGCTTCCACTTCTCTGGCGAATCTTCCCTACCCCTTTCACTGTGTTACTGATCGAGAAAACAATAAAAACATAAGACACGAGTTGTAGATCGGTAGTGGTGGTTTTGGCTGAGTTTTTTAGGAGGAGATTGGTGGTGGATTAACATCTTAACAATGATCGGAAAAGAGAGCAGGAGAAGGAGGAAGCGTGGGTGTGTTTGTCAATAGGGGGTGTCCAGTGGGATTTCGATCACTAGGACATTTCCATCGCCGGAAACCTCCAAAAACAATCTGCATAGTTGCAGGTATTGTGGGGGTGAAGAAGATGATGTCCATTCCGAAAACCTAACAATCAAACTTGCTGCTGAATACCGACAACCATTTCTAAACCTCACATTCACCAAAACCACTTACAACTATCACAGAATCAAGCCCTAAAAACCATCTCAACATCACATGGAATGTGATCCCCTCTCCGTCTCCATCGTCGATGAAGAAGATTTTGGTTTGATTTGAGTTTGCTTCTCCAATATGAATCTCCCTCTTCTTCGATTTACAAGTTTAGGGTTCGTTTTTTGGTATTTGAATGATGACCGATGGTGGTTACAAGAGGTGCTAGTGGTGATAGGTGAAGGTGCTGGCAATGATAGGTGGAGGTGTCGAAGATTGAAATAGGATAGTGAAGAGAGAGAGAGAGAGAGAGAGAGAGAGAGAGAGAGAAAGAGAACCAGATAGAGGTGGAGATGACAGATCGAATTCAAAGAAGAAGAAGAAGAAAGGAAATTGGGGAAAGGGGAGGGGTGTCTTGGTAGAGTCGGTCGAATATGTCGCCGGAGTATTGAAGTCGGCCAAATGTGTCGTTGGAATCGCCATTGTGGGTGGTGATGGTGGATAGGAGGTGTCTTGAAGAAGAAAGGGGGGGGGGGGGGGGGGACGAGTTATGGTTGTCTTCTTAGGCCCCCATTTCTTTTTAAAGGGTTTTTTAATAAATAAATCAATAAATAATCAATAATTACGAACAGATAGAAAAATAAATCAAAAAAGAAATAAATAAGGGTAAAATGGTCTTTTTATTTTAAAAAGGATGAAGTGTGCAACTTTTAACCAAACGAGGGACGGTCCGAGTTAATTTTTGAAAATAGAGACTGAACATGCTTTCAGGCACCTGCACGAGGGACGAATCGTGTTCAAAACAACATATGATAAATCAATTATCATATGTAAAAATCAATTATGTTAATGCCTTTTTAAAAGTAAAAACATTTAGTTCATCAAAAGTTTTAAGCAGTTAAATTGTTTTTCACCTATTTCCAAAACATGTTCAAAAACAATAAAAAAAAATGTGATTTATAGTTCTAAAAGATGTTCTAATTCCACTGTTGATGATTGATGTTCAAAACAACATATGATAAATCAAGCAACAGATAACATTTTTGTAAAAATTTTAATCCACAAAACAATGGATCCATTTAGAATTTAAAAATCAACATTTGTCCATATGGTTCCTTAAAATAATGGAGTGCCTCAATAATAGAGACAAATTATCAAAACAAATAATCACAACAATTGATCCACAAAAAGCATGAAATAGCAGCTACTTTGTAATTTCCAAGGCTATAACCATAAAATTCCTAACTTTCTTGCAACTAAATTGGCAAAAGCCCTGAATTTAATTTTCCGTTGACACTGGACACGATATTTTCATGGAATTATGAAAAAAGGGCAAAGTGTTGGTTTCATCGGTGTCAGCAGGTTGCAAAGGAAAATACGAACGTCGGATGTCAGTTCTTAGCTAGGTCAACCAAATTCTCCCTCCAACCTCAATCATCCAACATGGTATCGTCCTCCAACACGCACAAACAAGGGTACAGAGAATGAGCAAGGACGTATCCACTAAGGGTTTAGGTAGCTCCTAGGACCTACCTAAATTCTCAATCCCATTTACATTATATATAGTAGAAAAACTAGGAACTATCTTTAAAAAAATAGATGAGCCACATTGATTTTTTTTTTAAATTCTTAAAAAACCATTTTAAAATATAAAAATATAATTTATTAGGGGCAATTTGTTATTTTAAATTATGAGATTGATAACAAAAAGTTAACCCCTCTTAATCGCCTCTCTCACAATATTAATAAATAAATAAATTGCTCTAATAAAAAGAAACCCACATACTAAAGACTTTCACTCTTCGTTTACTGTTTTGTTAATGGACTAATACTAAACTAGTTTTCATTAAACCGTACAAGTTTTTTCAATTATATTTCAATCGGTTTTTAAATTTTTAATCGGTGACGCCTAATCGTTTTTAACCGATTGAACCGGTTCAGTTCTTTTAAGGTACACAAGCCGATCCGATCCCCAAAAGTGTTGTTGAATTTTTTATTGGATTCACTTAAATTTGAAACCATGTTATTGTTTGTTCTAGATTCGCCACTACACATAGGTTGTATATAACTATAGAAAAGGTAAACATCATATGCAATGTTGGCATTATGTCGAACACGTGGTGGGTGGAAGTTAAACTTGGTGGGTGGAAGTTAAACTTTCACAATACACATAGCAGATTAACATGTCAAGATTGACATCAGATTCAACAACAAGGTATATTCATTATTCCCATATATATATATATATATATATATATATATATATATATATATATATATATATATATATATACCCTCAAGGGTATATTCATTATTCCCATATATATATATATATATATATATATATATATAGGGTAAGGTTCAAATGTTTTCTAACAATTATTGTGTGCTCGTATGCAAAAATCTGGACCACAAATAGAATATAATCAATGGTTATGATCTGAGGGTCTATGATATTACAATAGGGTAACATGTACCATATAATCACAGAAATTTCAGTATAAGGGTATTTTAGTCAATTAACCTATATTCGAAAAGGAAATTTTCGTATTTTAAGAATAATTAATTCCCATTTTTTTTAATATGATTTTTTTTAAATAATTCAAATTTAATTTTAATATAACTTTTAGTAAAATTCGATTTTATTCTGTCAGAATGACAAAAAGTCAATTATAAACTAATAAAAATATTTTCGATTTTATTTTTGCATAATATGGTTACATTTAAGATATATATATATATATATATATATATATATATATATATATATATATATATATATATATATATAAATTAACATGCTTAAAGACTTATACAACATATTATCAATAATAATATTTTTTTTAAGAATACAGATTTTATTCTTTAAGAATCATTGATTATATTAACTAGGTGGGGAACCCCTGCGTTGCGGGGGTCGGATTTTGTCGTTGTTTGCTCTTTGTAAATGTTATTTGATCAACTATCTGTTTGTAGTTTGAGTATTGTTATGGGGCAGTAATATTGTTTCATCATGGATACTTTTTTTTGTTGTCGGATAAGCTATTTATCGAAATATATACTTCATGGGTTTATCCTTTGGTTGATGGAATGGGGTTGCAGAGCCGGATTCCGCGGATCAAATAAAATGCCTCCAATATCAAACATTAAGAGGAAATGTATACAAAGTATCGAGATACATATAGAACTATTCATAATAAAGTGTGTCCAATATGAAACATTGAATGAACAGAATAAATGTAACTGTGATATGTGTTATTAAAATATGTATTAGCTGGTATATGCATAAGGTTGAACCTCATAGAAACTGCAAGTGAGAACTTCACACTGTGTTTTACTTTTTTTTTACTTTTTTGCTTTGGGTTTGTTTTGGCTCGGCTTCTTCCAAAAAAGCACCACCTTAGCAGTCGACGCATAGGTGCCACCGTCATCTGCTTCTTCTTGGATTCCACTTCATCAGTGTCACCGCCATTATCCCCTATTCTTAATCCGTGGTTTCTTAGTCTAACATGTGCTTTAGTCAGTCAACACCTCCACCATTTACCTGACATGGAGCGATTAATGTCACATTGGCCACCGGATAGATTGAAAATAACATAATGTCCTAATGTAAGAAACTAAAGTAAACAAATAAATTAGTGTACGTTGCTATTTTTTGCATTTAACGCTTTTCGCTGATATTGAATAAAGCCAACCTGAAGAAAAAAAAAAACATATTTTGTATTATTATCGTATTCACATTTTTCTGGATGCAATTGTACATACTAAAAAGCTTACAATATCTACCCTAATCTATCAAGAATATGTTATTTGAATGTCATTAAATAATATGCATTATCTTAAACTATCTACAGCTCTAATACCAAAAAAAAAAAAAAAAAAAAAAAACAAAAAGAAATGACTTATATACCCTTTGAGAGAGTATATTTGCTCAATTAACCAAGTAAGTAACATAGTTGTCGCGAAGAAGGTGAAATTCCCAAATGAAGCAACACAAAATACAGAAATCTAGAACCAATCAGCTTCTTTTCAACATAATCACCATCACTTCTATAAAGTAACCTTTATACTGACTTCTTTTCACATTCCTACACACAAAACAGATATAAAACCCCAAGTCAAAAGCCCATAGTCATAATCATCATTCTATTACTCTCTAAGAAAAAATAATTAAACATACAAAATTTGTAACTTATGAAGAATTTAACAACTCCAATACACAAAAACCTAAATAACGAAACAAATCTACAAAAGAATTTATCTGAGAAGAAAATAACCAAGATGAAATCAATCAGAAAATAAAGTAATTAAATTAAAGATGAAAAAAAAAAAGTTACACAACAAAATCTGACCTTTTGCATTTCACTTCGTGGTTGTGCATGCTTTATGCTGAGATAATTCTCTCATAGTTAAGTATAAGTCTGCAAGATGAAAACTCATAGTTATATAATCATCTTTATTTCTTTTTCCTGCAAGAGAAAAATAAAACCTACAAAAGCTATCCAAAAAATAATCACGTATAAATGATAATAAGATGAATGATCCTTGGAAGTTGAAGATCACTATATATTTGACCCATAAAGAAAGAAATATCCTTAGCAGTTTAAGATCTTTGCTATTACCTTGGGACTTGCTGTAAGAAGATCATTAATAGTGATCCAAAAGCATTTACCGCTTGATCAAAGCAAGTCTGGGCACAAATGGCATCCTTTTATGAGAAGTATCATATATTTCTCCTTCTGGTTTTCTGTTAAAAAGAAATCTATACAAGTGACAAAGACTTGAAATATCCATTTTCTTATTAAAAAGTTAAAGGGTAAAAAAATGGTTACAGATTATTACGGATGGAATAACCTGATTTGAAATATCCATTTTCCACCTTTTTGCTACATCCAATTTCGATTTTTTCACAAGTAGACTCGAACCTGAATTCAAAGTCAAAAACTGGGTCCATAGGCGGAGCATCTTAGAATCTTAGAATTCAAGAAAAAAAACTTATGCGCCTAAAATACCCTTCATCCATATGGCATGGAAAAATATGTGTTAATAGATCTGCGAATCGATACAGAAAGCAGAACCCAAATCATAGCACTCAAGACTTAAAATGAAGAATTAAATGAACCTTTTTATCATATACCAACTTCAACAATCTTATCATTTGACTTTTGTTTCTCCGAAGTTGCCAATCCAGTCTACAAAAAAAAAAAAAAAAAAGATTTCTTTAATGATTAATATTTTGTGTAAATTAGGAACCAAACACTACTTACCTGTGAATTTTGTAAATCCACTTTCACCAGCCTTTCTAAATCCCTAAAAAGGAGAATCAAAGGATTCAGCAGTAGATACGGAAGAAGGTGAACTAAAAGATATGTAGGTTTTCTGATGCTAATTACGCATGTTATCTAGTCAACTTACAAACCCTCAATCAATTTGCTCAAATCTGAAAAAGTCACTGACTATTCAGACAATGAAGTCAATCTACATGATTGTATCTACCGAGTTACTACAATTTCAAGGCCAAACCTATAAGAAGACATCAAAATAAGCCATGCTTACCTGTGGTATAATATAACCTATCTATTGTTTGGCATATGATAACAATCTAAAGAGTGAAGCTTCCTGATGACAGATAGAAGTTCCACATCATACAAGTATCTACAATATCAAAACTCACCCTCATTAAAAAAATTTAAAACCGGTTATGTGAGAAGTCAATCCATAAGATATTAGCAACTCCCAAATCATAAAAAAAATTATAAAGCAAAATAGTTCTTTGCAGGGGATTCCAATGAATCAGTAGATTCATGTGAATAATTATGACTATCTTCATCATATTTTCTTACAAGGTTAAATAATAAATCAGTCCATACTCTCCTTCTCCAAATACCAAAAGAGGGTCTTTTGTAATAATTGTTGAACAAAATACAAATCACCGGGCGGATGCAACAATATAAAGAAGCCATCATCGATTGCATGTGAACACATACATGAAAAACTACATAAAATTACCACATAAAAAAGAAATTACGACTTGTAATATCAAACCTGTAACATTATGCTGACATCAGCACCTTCAACTTCCCATTTGAATGTAGGAGCAAAGTAGTTGGTTATACAGAGGGCCCAATTGATTGGCGATACGTTGATAAGAACCGAGAATAAAACCGATTTGAGGTATTAGGAAATCGTTTTGAAACCTGTGGTATTAGGAATTCGATTTGATACCTGACAAAGAGAAGGAAAAGGTTCTTCCATGTCTGTGAGCCGAGGTGGGGCTAAACCGGAGGTTTTCCCCACGACGCGACGACTTGTAGCCAGAGGTGATGATAGAAAATCGAAGACCGGAGTGACAGAAGGGGTAGAAGGAGTAATAATTCGAAGCCGATACTACAAATTTAGGTGGATTGTAGATCATCAGTTCTATATTTCTGCCCTAATTTCATGGGTTCTGACTTGATTCGAAGCCAATAACCTTCTATTCCGGCTTCAAGCGGTGTCATCTTCGATGTTACCCCCTCTCCCTTACCTCCTCCACAGCCCTACTCACCACCACCCAACATATGGAAGAAAGAGATCGTGCTTCTGTTGTTGTGATTGTTGGTGAACAAAACAACGTGGGAAAAGGAATAACATGAGTAAAGGTATGGAGAGAGTGGAGGCGGTGGATTGGATGGTTGTGGCGATGAACGTTATCTGAGGAAAAAGAACAGAATGTTTGGATAAGGAACGGTGGAAGGAAGAAACTGGCCGGGTGCGAGCCGGAACTATTCATAAAGATGATCATCTTTAATATATATATATATATATATATATATATATATATATATATATATATATATATATATATATATATATATATATATATATATATACTAGACGAATACCCGCACGTTGCGCATAAACACCTATATAGTTGAAGTCTTTACAAATATATATATTTTTTTAAAATATAACAATAATGTTGTTGTTAAATTTGATATAATAATTTGTATACTAAATTGATATAATGTATTGATTATTTTGAATTATATTATAATATATACATCTATTATAATTTAATGTTTTAATTTCTATCATTATAATTATTTAAAACATGAAACATTGTTTTTTGATTTTAAAGGTAACAATATAATCATTTATATATAGTTATTTTTAACTATTGTTATTGTAAGTTATTTTAAGCTACTTATTTGAAAAGTTTTAATGATTATAAAAATATATTTAGGAAATATTTTAGTTAAATTAAGATTATAATTTAGTTTTTGTATTTATCACTACAATTTATCACTTTTAACTATTTACAAAATATTTTTTGGTTTTTTTAAGTGGAACTGAAATTTATATTTAAGTTGACACTGTAATGTTATATTTAAATTAACAATTTAAGTATGTTTCTAAAATGTTCAAAAGCTGTAGTTTTAAACTGATAATAGTTTACATAGAACAACATTTTAAATCTAATAAATTAAATATAATATGTTAAAAGTTAAAGACATAACTTTATAAGTAGAAGTAAATATATTATTTTAAAATTAAAATTTAGGTTATTTATGGTTATACATTAGGTTTGATATTTATTTAACCTTATTGATCAAGTTATAATCATTATTAGAAATACACTACAATTTATCACTTTTAACTATTTACAAAATATTTTTTGGGTTGTTTAAGGTAAACTAAAATTTATATTTTAGTTGACCCAGTAATGTTATATTTAAATTAATAATTTAACTATTTTATACAAATTGTTCCAAAATTGTATCTTTAAAATGATAATCGTTTACATCCAACAATATATTAAAACTAATAAATTAAATATAATATGTTAAAAGTTAAAAACATAACTTTATAAGTAGAAGTAAATATACTATTTTAATATTGACATTTAGTTTATATATAATTACACTTTAGGTTTTATATTTCTTTAACCTTATTAACCAACTTATAATTATTATTAGAAAGAAATTGAAAAATCATGGGAGTTTCAAATGAATGTGGTGAAAGGAAGAATACATGGAAGTTTCAAACGCATGAGGTTCAAGGAAAAATGCTAGCTTTATAAGATATATATATATATATATATATATATATATATATATATATATATATATATATATATATATATATATATATATATATATATATAGGATATAGATCCGGTAAGAAATTTATTTTTGTAGGAAGGTAAGAAGTTTTTTTTCTACATATTTTTTTAACGAACAAAAATAATGAATCACTAGATGATTCATTTGTAAGATGATTCACAAGAAAAAAATTCTCAAAAAAACATCTATATGATTCATTTTTAAGTAAATTAAGGAAAAATTCACTTTTATGACAATTTTAGTGAATAACAATAAAATCATTATATAAATGAATCATCGAGATGTTTTTTTGAGAATTTTTTCTTGTGAATCATCTTACAAATGAATCATCTAATGATTCATTTTGTTTGTTCGCGAAAAAAATATATAGAAAAAAAACTTCTTACCTTCCTACCAAAAATTTCCTTCTTATTTGATCTTGACTCTCTCTCTCTCTCTCTCTCTCTCTCTCTCTCTATATATATATATATATATATATATATATATATATATATATATATATATATATATATATATATATATAGAAGAATTCGTAAAGAATAAAACTATTTAACAATTACTATATTCATTCTGAAAAAACAAACTAACCTATAATGGCTTAAGAATTGCATTTAATCTTAAAGATTAAAACTAATGGTTACAAAAAATAATAATAACTAAATCAAAATAAAATAAAATAAATTCAAAATTTAACAAAAACACTAATCAATTCTGAAAGAATATTACTGTTAAAAAATATATTATACATTATGGCATAATACATTCTGATTGAATACACTCTCGTTCTCAATATTTTCTTATTTTTCCACTTCAAAACCTATGTCCATAAAAAAAACATAATCAAATTTCAAATATTTAAAAATTCAGTGCATTCTAACAGAATAAAAACTATAAATTCTGATAGAATGTATTAGAAACTACAAAATCTAACAAATAAAAATAAACAATAAAAACTATAAATTCTAACAGAATATTGTAGACATTAGAGAATTATAATTTATTCCCATAAAAAAAAATATTTAACTTTCAAATATTAAAACATTCAATTCATTCTAGGGTAATGAAAAATATAAAAAGTATTATACAAAACATTCTGATAGAATGTATTTATATCAATAAATTCTGACAGAATATACTACAAAATTCACTTAAATCATACTCTTTTCTTCTAATTTGCCAATCTATGTAAGAATAAATTGATGTGAAAGGGAAACATCAATATGTTGTTCCAATTAACATATGTAATTAATTCAAAGTTCATGGAAGAATGAAGCAAAATGAATTATGTTTACCACTGAGGCAAAACAATTAAAATAAAGTAATTTAATTTAAGTCCTTACATACATATACACTAACCGACTATATTATGGCTATGTTTACCTACGGTTAATCCCAATTCAAAGTAATATAATAGAAATTCAAGTCAACCCTTAATCAAATGAACTAAAACGAAACTATCCCGTCGAGATTATTTCAAGTACACCATATGTGATTTAACTAATAAAACCCAACATTAAAGACATAAACTATCAAAATAGTTAGAAAACTAAAATTGAGGAGGAATTATAAGAACCAGTCTACGAAGATGAGATGTTGACAGATCTTCCGTAACAAGAACAACACAAAAAGGAAATAAATTTGCTGCCAAAATCAACTTGAAGAGAGTCGTTGGTGGAGTATTTTTCAACAAACTCGACCGAGGGGCTGCTGGAGGTGGGCGATGTTGGTGGATGGAGCTATCGGAAATGGGTGTCGTTCGTATTGGCCGAGAATGAGGATGATGTTATGGCCGACGTTTTAATAGGCGGAGTAGGGTTTTAATTGATAAATTAAAACTGGTCTCTTAAATAAAGGGATATCAATTGTTAATTTTGTATATTAATTAATATATATGTCATATTACTAATTTACCCTTATTAATTTAATTAATGATTAAATTATTGCTAAATTCTCATTGATCCATATTTGGACACAATAGTTGTAGGAAACATATGAACCTACCTCTGTAACTCAATTTGAGTTTTATATATATATATATATATATATATATATATATATATATATATATATATGTCTTGATTTACATGTTAAGTTGCCATTTCAAATTGAGTTATTGAGCGTTTATGAATTATCGACATGTTAATGATATAGATTTTGGTAGTGATTAACTGAATGCATATAAATTTATGAGAAAATGACAAAATTAGCCAAATATATTAATTACTTTGTGGAAAATAGCTAAAAAAACTGAAGTGGCAAAATTGGCCACGGAAATCGCAGATGGGAATGGTCCATCTGCGATTTTCACATCCCATCTGCAAATGTACAAGTGGCTAAAGCATAGTTATGCTTTAGCCACTTGTGCATTCGCAGGTGGGGTTTTTTTTTTTTTTGTATATATAGGTTATTAGCAGGCTAAAATGTCTATCTACGATTTCCTCTCTCTTTCTTCTACAAAATTATGGTTTTCTTTTTAATTTTTTTAATTTTTTTAATTTTGATTATGAAATCAATGGGTTTGACTACGAAATAACATTATTATATATAAACTTTTATAGAAATTTATCAATTTACTAGTTATTTGTTTAAGAAATTTCTTTAAAATCTCTCTAAAAAAATCATTGAATATTTGGTTTGTCTTGTAACCGGTGGGAGATGGCAAGTAATTGAAACAAATCTGGAATACGTATGTCCACAGAGAGGTATTTCTGAATTCGCTTTGCTATTTTCTGAGTCTGTTAGTTATAGTGATTTTGTATCTTTGGTGAGAAGCAAAATTGGTTTGTTAGACAAATATAGAATTAGTCTTCGTTTCCATTATCCTGAATTGAATTATTATATAGCAATAGTTGAAGACATAAATGTTAGAATGTTGATAAATGTAATCAAATGTAGCGGAGGAAGGGTTGTGAAAGTGTTTGTGGTGGTTGATGAAGGAGATGAGGTTAATGAGGTTGGTCATAGTCGAAATCAATCGGTTGGTAATTTATCCAGCTATAAAGGAAGCAACGATCTGATAGATACTTTCAATACTCCTAGTGTACCTCAATTTCACAGTGTTGCTGAAAATGTTAATGTTAGCTATACACCTATTCACTATGTGGATCCTCAGAATTACAAGTATGTTGGTGATGATGATGTCGGTACATATCTTAATGACGTGGGTGGTCGTTGTGTTGATGTTCCCGAACAAGAAGTTAAAGTTATGAATAGGCGTGTAGTAGATAAAAGTAAAAAAGAAAAAAATTATGTGTCAAAAAGATGAAAAAAGCATGTTTACGGGGATTATGTTGATGTTGCTGAAGTAGGTTTAGATATAACCGGCTTAAAAAGCAATTCATATGGAGATGAGTTGGGTGATGAAGTTAAAGTTAAGTTTCCCGATAACCTTTTTTACGGTATGCCCCCTCTACCAACATGCCCAGTTGATATTAATGAAGATATCCCAACACAGATGGTAGACATCAATCTTCAAAAGATTGAATCTGAGAGTATATTTAAGAACAAAGAACTTTTAAAGCGGTGTATTGGTAAAAAATGTATTCGAGAAGGTTTTTATACGAGGACAATAGATCCACCAAATCAAGGTATGAGGTTGTGTGTGTTTCGAAAAATTGTTCTTGGTTACTAAGAGCAAAAGCAATTAGATACTGATGAACTTTTCCAA